TACACTGGGAACCTTGACAGTGTGCATGCCTTAGGGCCCATTCACACTACCTCCAGAGCAGATTGTTTCTGGACCTAAAATGCATCCCAATGTTTTCCTATGCTCTTCTTGGCCTCAGTTCACACCATCGGAGTCAGTTCCAGACCAGACCAGACCAGACCAGAAAAATACTGCGTGTCACATTTTTAATCTGGTCTGGAATGCACCGGAATGCGCACAAACGCATCAAAAACACAACGGACCGCATCGGAACGCAACACAATGGGAATTTTTTTTTTTTGCTGGTTTGGAGGATTTCATCACCCCTGAACTTCCTGCTTCTGTGGAGAGAGAGATTTGTGAAGATAGGAACCATGATGGCTGACGTGGACACCAAATTCTTTGTAGAACTTGTGGAAGCCTGCCCAGAGCTGTATGATCCATGCATGGACAATATAAGAACAATAATAGGAAGAAGGACAAGTGGAGAGGCATTGCTGCCCAGGTTGTCCCTGGCTATGATCATTCGAGCAGCTCTGAAAAGAACAACTGTAGTAAGTTCATGTATCTTATGTGCAAGCATTGTGCTGCTCTTTTCCTGGCTATCTGTTGGTCTTGCAGAGGTCCCCCAGCAAGACCTAAAGTTGAACGCGGCAAAACACAACACAGTGCATTCCAGATCTGGTCCAGAAAATGGTGTGAACCTGCCCTTAAAAGTAACTGTTTTGGGAGACATTAAATAGGTGGGCAAAGTTCCTCTTTAAGTAAGCTAAATTCCAATGAGGATAATTAGCTTTGCCATTTAATTGATATTGTGATATTGGAGATGTCAAAAAGGACTTGACAAGTTGCTTGTTTTACATGAAAGGTCTTGGGTTTTTTTTTAATATGGGAATACAACTGGCCATAGACATTAAACTAAAAAAAAATAGATGACAGTCATCCATCTGTGGGGCTTTCAGAAAAAGGCAGACACGTGTTTAGCTGTGAGCAAAAACAACTAAAAGAACTTATAGCGGTTTGGTAGCTTCTGATCATGCAGTAAAGTCAAAAGTAGGCCATAATAGTAATTGGGCCTTTGTCACATATGACCCAATATATTAGATACTGTACGTCAGGCTACCATTCACATGATAATGTGATGACTTTAAGCATAGGTCATCATCATCAAGAATAGACTTTGAGAAAAAAGCAGTCCAGGGGGTATAAACGACACCATCCCTCATGTGATTACATGACCACATTTTACCAAGTCTTATAAATCAAAAATTGTCTATGTCTCTATTTCTTCTAATTGGTGGACTAAAGCAAACATAGGGATATTTGAGGCTCAGCTCTCTGTAGGTGCTCAAATCTGCTCTTCTGATGTATTCCTAAATATGGTACCTGAATGAGTCTGATAGGTTATTCTCACTAAATCTCTGCATATGGCAGTTTGTGCATATTTCGGTCTTTTGGCCATCAGATTACAAAAGGATATTGGTTTTCTCTAAACAGTTTTTAGAGAAACATAAGCAGCAAGGTAAGGCTAGTTTAACAGTCATGGGGGTATACATGTGGAATAGTGAATGTCTAATTAGGCATTTGTTCACTATTAGTCACTTGCAGGGTGTCCCTATAATGAGACAGCCAGAGGTAAGGACCATACACATCTCCCCGTCCAGCTTTTAGTAACCTGGGATGCTCTGGCCGGCGTCCCACCCAGCTTCTGGCACCCAGTGACATTGCCCAGGGGCTGGGCGGGATGCCAGCGAGAGCGGCAGCATCACTCCTACACGCCTGGGTCACTCTTCACCGGCAACCCCCACCTTCCTCACCACCAGCATGAACCACCAGCAACACCAGTCCCCCCATCACCCTCCTCCCTGGTCTCAGGCAGCAAAATGGATCGGGACACCCCTGGTCAGAAAATTCAGCACATTTTAAAATTCCATTTGCTGTCCATATTCGCCTACTGGTTTACTTGGCCATGCCCCTTTAAAAAATGTTCACTCAGCATCACTAAGGGGTCTATTCACAAAGCTGCCGAAGGATCTGGCCGTAGCTTCGGCCGATCCTTCGGCCCCAGGACCCCTTCGGTTCAGGAGAACCGAGGGGGTGCTGTACGGGCTATTCACAATAGCCCGTACAGCTCCCGATCACGGCCGAGCGGCTCAGTCGAGCCGATCGCATATGCCTCGGCTCGGCGGAGCCGTGCTGAAAGCCCACGCTGGCCAGAGCGCCCGGGAGATTTTTTTTATTTTTTTTTTACAGCAGCAGAGCTGCCGGACAATAGGAAACTATTGGGCGGAGCTAGCTGTCACTGCTAGATGTTGGATCGGCTGAGTTGAACTCCTTCTGCACTTCGGGTCAGCCGAACATGCTGAGCATGTTCGGCTGATCCGAAGCCACACGAAGCAAGCCGATGTACGGCTGATTTCAGCCGATGTACGGCTGAAATCAGCCGTACCAGCCTGAAGTGAATAGCCGAACAGTGTTCGGCTCACTTCACTTCTGATCGGTTATTCACTCGGCTGCCCTCGGCAGCTTTGTGAATAGACCCCTAATTGTTTTCACCTTGCCTGTTGTCTCAGAAACATTTGCCCTATTTAGAATGCAGTGAATGGTATATTTGCTGGTAACAACTGCTTCTATACATTTGACATTTTAAGACGATAAGTCATTGATTTTATAAGTAATTCACATTTGATTTCTATACTAAACCCTGCATTAGAAGGCCCTTTGTCCTCAGCCCTGCTTACTCCATGCCACACACATTAACCATCCTGCAAACTGAAATTTTGCACTTATATCCTCATCTGCAAAAACCAACATTTGTCCTCTCTAGCAAAAAATTAATAAATGCACCGAAAAATAAATACTATTAATGATGAACGAGTCAAATCACCTAGATTCTGGATTCTACCTCAAATGTGTTTTTCCTGTAACAGTTACTGTATACACTGGAAAAAAACACTATCCTGCAATGTATGACACATTTTGATGACTGCTTCTTGTTTTATATACATCTTTTCATAAACACAAATAACACTGTAGGAATTGTTCCACACTTAGGAGTTGAAAGGGTTTGTAGGTGCAAATAAATTGTTAATATATATTTTTTTCTAGCACCTATAAACAGTAATGCTGGACAGAACCATCCCAGTGTAGAAAAGTCATAATTTTATAGCAAGACCGGAGGCTCATATTTGCATCATCTTTCTTTACTGACACCAATAGCAGGAAGAAATAGTTAACAAAACATATTATCAATGATGTGCACTATTCACAAGCTGAATAAAAATTTTTGTTTACTTGCACTTATCTAGTCTGTGCTTTAGGTAGGGTTTCTAACAGTGCAATACAAACCCACACCCCCACCCTGGTATTAGGAACATGGTTGGTAGAAAAAAAAACATTTCTTAACTTTGGACCTCATAAACGTTAAGGAACCACAATACAAAATTGAACTGACCCAATGGTAGGATCCCTTTTAAGCAGAATTTATTAATCATGAATATTTCATGTAATGCAATAAAGTACCTGCATAATACTGTGTTAATGTGTGTGTGCAAAGAGACATATATA